TGTGCTCCAAGTGACAACAATGTCGTGAATGTTATCTGAAAGAATATTGAGAGTATATATTAATTATTTCTTTTAATAAGCAAGAATAAAGATGTTTATATATAAACACTTAAATATAATTTCTCAATGTTATATTTTTTAAAGTATCAAAAAAATATTACATTTTATATCTGGAGACACGGTAGCTGAGACAAGCCCAGTGTCATGGCGTGAGATATATATTTACATATTAATATCATAAAACACTCACCACCATAGGAAAGATGCACAGCTTCTGGCTGATAATGTATCACAGTAGCAGATGCAATAAATAAGAAAGATAGAATCACGAATGTAATATGCGAAAGCATTTTGCTTCTATACATTAAAAAGAGCCTCAGATGATATGTGAGATTAATTGATCATGACGCTGCAGAAACAAAACAAAGGAATTAATTTGTGTTTAAATTAAATAATTGCATGCGTTGCTGAATATCGTACCTGCTGATTCAACGCGCCCTGTCCTACCTGTGTCACACAAAGGAGCAATAATTAAAACAACTGAGGTTTATGTATAAAAATTAACAACTGAGGTTTATGTATAAAAATTAATATATAACTGTATGTTATCGTCAAACGCGTAGCATTATCAAGCGTATTATCATTTCGACTCCCACTAATTCCACCTTGTTTACGTCGATTTAACCAATCTGTCAATTGTCTATGATACTATCTATATGACTGTCAGCTTGTAGAACAAGATTAACCAATGACGAGCGCTCACGTCAATTGCGTGTAACGATTGGCTGTAGACGCTGTAGATAATGTTGGCGGGAGATACTTGCATTCAACTTCATATCATTAACGTATGTAACTCTGTTCATTGTAAAGATGTCCTTGGTTCGTTGTAATTACATTATATTAAACTTTTTATATATTTACAGTGAGATATAAGTATATACAATTACATATTGAAGAGAAAAGAAGAAAAAACGAAAAGTTTAACTAAGAAGAACAGCCTCCTACTTTCTGAAAAAATTCTACGCTCTTTACGTTGATTGTGGTGAGTTAACCTCTTCACAAATGATTGACATTTATGTACATACATATAATACAATTTGGCTTGTTTTAAAAGTTTATCAATGACAGAAGAAAATTAGAAAGGCATTGAAGTATTTTTATAATTTTTATTTTTTTATTTTTAGAGATTTAAATTAAAATTTAAAATATAACTAAAAACGAATTACATTACATTTTTTAATTTTGAAAATATATGTTTCTGAAAAGATTAATAATTACTCGTTTTTTTTTCTATACATTTTATATAAAAAAATAATTCGAATTAGCATAAAACATAATTTTTTAAATTAAAAGTTTAAATGTTTCTTTACTTAAAAAAATTTCTAAGTTATATTGTCTTTCTTCTGCATATATTACATTACAAAGTAGTGTATATTGCGAAACATATGTATATATCATATCGAACGAACGCATTACTCGCTATAACCCGTGACATTTACAGAATTTATAATGTTATATGTCAATATTTTTTATATATTGAATTATTATTTATGTTGTTTATTTCACAGTAAGTTTCATTGAATACATTTATCTTATTTAGTAACCTCTTGTTAAAGATTATCGACTCTTTGCATATATCTTCGATAATGTAAGCTTCTAAATTTTAAATACTCAAATTTTATGAATTTTATTACATAATTTTTAAAGTTTATAATATAAACTTTGCACAATATGCGTGCAAATTATAATTGAGAAATATCCAATTTACCAAAATTTAATCCTTCTGAATAAAAACGCTCGCTACATTTATTTGTCATAAGCTAATTATGTACATATAAGGAAATAAATATATGCTATAAAAAACCATAATGTTGTAGATTGGGAAACTGCGTTGTAGATTGGATTCATAGTTATCATTTCAAGAATTTAACACGCACATTGGTGTAAAATTATCATCTAATTAGGAATTAAACCAGATATTTGAGAGTAAGAAATTTATTCAATTTCTAAAATAGTTCTCGCCTCAGTGGTAAGATTTGTTTAACTAGATCGCAAACTCAAGCTTGCCTCGTGATTGCCTCAGGGTTACTATTAATCCGGACTTGAAGTTAAACGTTGCTCTCGATCGCAGACAATAGGGCGACGTTGATTCCGCGCGGTAATACCGCGATAATGCAATTACATAAGACGGAAGCTGGAGAAAGTCAAAGAGAGAGAGGAGAGGGGAAGAGGGAAGGAGGCAAAGGGAGAGGAAGGGCGAGAGAGAGAGAGAGAGAGAGAGAGAGAGAGAGACCAGAAAAGCAGTTACCGAACTAACATCCCCTATATTGATCTTACGGTTGTGTAGTTCTCGTCTTCTTTGGTTTACACGCGTTTTCTGTGCACGTGCAAACGCCGCAGGAACATAAAAAAATTTCACGATTCCTTAAAATAAATAAGCGCCAGTTATAAAAATTATACTCAAATTCTTTACAAATTCTTAGATTCTATTTGTATACAT